ATTAACTTGTGATATTTCTATATATTTCAGTTAACCTCAGTTATAATGTATAAACCTCAAGCTAGTGATAAAGTATTAACATGTGATATTTCTATATATTTCAGTTAACCTCAGTTATAATGTATAAACCTCAAGCTAGTGATAAAGTATTAACTTGTGATATTTCTATATATTTCAGTTAACCTCAGTTATAATGTTTAAACCTCAAGCTAGTGATAAAGTATTAACATGTGATATTTCTATATATTTCAGTTAACCTCAGTTATAATGTATAAACCTCAAGCTAGTGATAAAGTATTAACATGTGATATTTCTATATATTTCAGTTAACCTCAGTTATAATGTATAAACCTCAAGCTAGTGATAAAGTATTAACATGTGATATTTCTACCGTCGAGGTGTTTTCCTGCTGTTTGATGGCGCAGGATGAAACGGCTCAGTCTATCGTCGACCCACTGGCGATATCAGTTGACCTGAACGCAAACCCTCCGTTAAACCTACGGCCATCTTTATCAGAGGGGTTACTGGATGTCACTAGAGTTATGCAACGTAGACTTGTTTTACAAGTAAGTAGTATTTGTTATTTCACTTATTTTCCGAGCTGAGGTGGCCCTTGAATCAGTGAGTTAGACACCTATATTGATGCTCCAGACTTTTTAAACAACTAAGTTTTAACACTTCTTCTTCATTTTTTCTGATGATGACACGTGTAAATTGTGTTATGTACTTTGTTATTATATAAAGGAGTATGTTATATCAGAATATATTCTGTGTGTTTATTTTGTTACAGATGAAATATTTATATGAGTTTTATTTCTGTTCTTTCAGATCAATTTTGGTATTTTAAATATTCGAGTTTCCTATCAGGATATGATGCTGTTTAAATCTATCATGAATTCTCTACCACAGCAAGCTCTACAGGCTAAACAATCTTCTAGTTGTACTAAAATAGATGTCCATTCTTCTAACAGTAAGTTAAACCTGTCTAATATTCTCCAGTATATAGGCTCTTGAAGTAAATTTGGCTGACTAAATCTCATGGACAGGACTTAGGGTTAGGGTTTAGGGTAAAATCGATAGAAACTGACTGATGTCTAATTTATGATAAATTTTTCCTTTCTGTAAGTTGAAAGTTAATGAATGTATTTTATCTCCAAGGTGATGTACAACACTTGATGTCTATTGGCTTTGACAAGAACGATTGTTTTTATGCCTTACAATATTGTCATGGTAACGTAGACGAGGCCGCAATGTGGTTAACCAAACACGCCAAAATCATCTCCAAGAAAGAGAAAAATTCTGACTTTGCCTTAACTGGTGTAGAGGTAAGGAAACTATTTTAAATTATTTTAGCCATGATGTAAATGTTTTTTTTCTGAAGGACCTGTGCTGAAATTGATCTGGTGATAAACTGAATAAATGTTGAAATCAGTTATATATGTTTGTGGTATGATCAACTGTGTTAACACACTAATTATGCTATTGATATCAACATTTAATTCTTAAATGTTTGACAAAATCTAGTAATTGACAAGAGATACAGACACATACTTCAGATACACAATCCTCATCAGGACATCTTTTTTATATGGAGGTCAATTTTCGATGTAGGACTTAACTATTAGCTAATTGACAAGAGCTCATCTCATACTACTGACACATGTTTTAGATACACCATCCTCATGAGGACATCTTTTTTATATGGAGGTCAATTTTCGATGTAGGGCTTAACTATTAGCTAATTGACAAGAGCTCATCATAATCTGCCAATGCCTGATTCAAAACAATCTTCAAGTCCA